GCTGCCACCGTCTGACGCTCTTTCTGACGGCCTGACGGCCAGGAAGCGGCGTCGGGCGGCACGGTCTCCATTGCCACAACCAGAGTGCCTCCGCGGCGGTTTAGGCCGTGACAGCCACGGTGCCGGCGGTGTTGGCGTCGCGGAGGGCTTGGGCGATGCGCGGCGATGCGGCATTGAGTACCTGGCGCCGTTTCTGCAGCAATTACTCAGAAATGGATGCATTTAGCTAATGGGACGCCAGCCAACACAGCAGTACCCGGGCGGGGACCAGGACGGGGCTCCTCACGCCAACTTCCCCTTCTTCTATTCGTCCCGAACTTTACTCGAGAATCTGGAATCCAGTCAATCTCCACGAGGCGAAAGGGCCACGCAAAGACCACGCAAGGGCGAGGGGGGCGGGGGCCCGGCGGGGCGGGGCAGAGGGGCAGGGCACACGCCGAGAAAGCACTCAAAGGGAATGGACTCTGGACGCGACCGGACTCTCTGGAACACAGGGAACGAATCAGGCGACCTTCTTCGTCTCTCTAACTCATTTTTCTCCGCCTCTCTCTGTCTCTCTATCGCAACTAATTTGGCTCCTTCTCTCTCCGTCTCTCTTGGACACGCCAATCAGCGTCCAAACAGCGGCACCGCCGATTCTCACTCTTTTTTTTCTTTTTCTCGCGATCTATTTCACGGAAGCGTGACGTGCGACTCGTCTGGCGCAGCGCATTCGCGGAAACATATTTACTCGGAAAATTATCGGAACGGACAATGGAAAGCACATTCGGTCCCAGTCCCAAAAAACCATGGAGCATCCCATGAGTCATGGGACACCATGGGCCGATTTTTCCCATGGGGAAGATATCCCATTGATTTTTTGCACCATTTCCCATGGTGTTGAGCAACCCATGGGGAGATGCCCCATGGTGTGTCCCATGGGAGCACTTCCTTGCCATGACAGAGTGTCTAGAAAGATCATTGTATGAAGTGCCTCCGTCTGAGAGGATCATCAACCACTTTCATGTCCGCCTAAGGTGAAATTTTCACGATACAACCGATTTTGAAACTAGATTTTGTCTACAAGTAACCGTTGACATAATATTACCTAAACGTAAAAATTAGACAGAGACTTCAACGCATGGGCAGAAATTCCATCCCATGGGAATGGCGACGCCATGAGAAAGTTCACACCATGGAGAGGCCCTCCCATGGTGTTCATCCCGCGCCATGGGAAATCAGCTCTATTTTCCATGGGAGGCCACTTACCCATGGTGCTGACCCGCGTTCCCATGGGATTTCAGTTAGGTCCCATGGAATATGACTCATGGGATCCCATGCGACCCATGGTTTTTTGGGACTGGGCGCTAACGAGGCCCGGCGCGGTGCCCCCCCCCCCACACACACACACACTCACACACATACACACCTGTGCACCTGAAAGGAAAGCAGCCATAATGATTCCGGGAGCGGTGCGGTGCGGCGCGGCGCGGCGGGGACCTTTGTTCGGCCGTTCGTTTCTCCCTTTTACTTTCTCCTTTCAAAAACGCCTCATGTTCCGCCGCCATGGCGGTCCCATTTGCCGGGGCACGTCCACACACTCATCAGAGCGGCGGAGCGGCGGCGCCATCGCAAAAGAGAGGCAGGCGGACGAGGAACGGGGTCGCGACAGCATGGCGACAGCATGGCGACAGCCAAACCGCGAGAACCGATCAAAATAACGTCGCCACTATCGCGTAATGGCTGCTGCTAGTACCCAAACGAGGCCAAGGCTCTATCTTCGTTTTCCAGGGCAGCACACGAGGCAACACAGCACTGACGTGTTGTTGTTGTTGTTGTTGTTGTTGTTAATGTTGTTGTTGTTGTTGATGATGATGATGATGATGTTGTTGTTGTTGTTGTTGTTGTTGTTGTTGTTGTTTGTTGTTGCTGCTGCTGTTGCTGTTGTTGGGAGGCTGGCCGCGAGGAGCTCGGCCCGTCTGGCCTGGTGACAGAGCAATTTGAGACAAGCAGCCGGACTGGTGCACACGTACGGGCCGCACGGGCCGCGCAGGCTGTCCTTAGGGCTGTGCGGTTAACCGGTTAACCGGTTATTGCATTCGGTTATTTCATTAACCGGCCGGTGAAGTTAATGCCTTTTCCGGTATAAGTTAACCGAATAACCGACGAATACGGTTAACCGACCCTCGGTTAACCGGTTTTACCGTCATGCTTAGTTGCATCATTGTTTCGGGAGACCACCTATATTCTTAATTTATATGGAGTTTTCTTATTTTGGTAATAAAAACCTGTATATAATCCAAAGGTAATTGCTTTTTTAAAATGCTCCGATTATTTTATCGTGTTACACGCAATTTGTTTCGTAAAATTTCAATTTGTTTTAAACTAACCGGTTATTTTGAGAAATTGCAATAACCGGTTATTGTGAGTTTCTTTAAAAACCGGTTAATTTTGACAAACCGGTTAACCTGGAAAGAATCCGGTTATTTCAGTAACCGGTTATTCGGTTAGAATTCCAATAACCGCACAGCCCTAGCTGTCCTGTCCGCGCTGTGCTGGCCGTGCGACCAGTCGCCCCGCAGGCCCTCCTGTCCAGCGCTGTCCAGCCTGTCCAGGCCGCGAGGCGGCCCCTCCTACATCTGCGCCCCGCCGCCAGCCCTTCCCGCTTTTCCCGCTGAAAAAAAAGTGTGCGGCCAGTCTTTCCCACGGCGCGTGGCGCGGTCGCTAGCGTCACTGTCACCGGCCGGCAGGGTCGCAGGTTCAACTCCCCCTCCGAGCGACTTTTTTTTTGTTTCTTTGCGGCTTGTTTGAAGGAATGCGGCGGACGCGCCCCGAAGCCCGCTTGTTAATTAATTGTTGCTGCCTGGCGGATGATGGCCTTGCAAATTGATGACGAAGATAAAGCGTGGGCGGGGACAGGGGGACAGGCGGCGCGGCAGCGGGGGCGGATTATAAGCCCGCGCTCTGTGGCGGCCCACCGCGCCCCACCCCCACCCCCGCCCCGCGCCGCCACAGCGGGGCTAAGATCGGCAGAACATCCGGCGTGCCGCCACAGCGCACCGCCGCGGAAGGGTTGGCCAACCTTCGCGCAGCGAACACGGAAGCGGCGCGAGTTTGGCGCCGCCAGGGCTGCCAACCCCGCGGCGGATAAATGTACGGAGGAAATGTGAAGGAAACGGGACACGTGTTGGCGTGAGAATGAGGAGCGGAAGGTGAAAAAAAAATTGTTGGAAAAGTTGAAGGGAATCGAGTGGCAGCCCTGAGGGCCCCGAGGGCACCGGAGGCAAAGGGCTGCTTCGCGCCCACTCAGGAGGTGCGGGAAAGCAATTTGGACGAAGTTGAAGCCTCCGTTTGACATTCACGTCAATCGCCTTGTGGCTGTGGCGTTCCACGACCGCCGCGTCACACGTGTGTGAGTGTATGTGTGTGTGCGTGTGCGTGTGTGAGTGTCGGTACCCCCTCTCCCTCCCTTTCCCCTGCGTTTGTTGGGTGTCGCTCGCAAACACAGAACGTAAAAGGAGGGGCTTGAGAAGGCAGTGCAGAGTAGTTGCACACCCTGCCGACTTTCATCATAAAGAGCGAGAGGGAGGGGTAGGGGAAGGGGTGGGGGAGGGGGAGGGAGGTGAGCCGCCACGCCCCGGCTCTGCGAAGTTCCCGCTAACCGCATGCTAAGTGCCTGCCTGGCACCCCACCCATGCGCGCGCGCACGTGTGTGTGTGTGTGAACAGCTTGCCGTGCAACGCGCCGGTCTGCGGGTGTTAGTTCTTGAACCGGTATAAGTAAGCAGGCGGCAGTGACTTGGCGGTCGCGCGGTGGTTGTGGTGCTCTGCTTATTAAGTGGCCCAGCCTCGCCCTCCGAGCGGCTTGAACTTGAACTAACCACCAAGCACCCCGTAGTGTTTGTGCCTAACGCAGACTGCGGCATTTCGAGGCGTTTCCATTGGACTGGAGGCGGCCCGTGGTGGAGTCCGCGAACCATCGCGCGCCACGGCGGCGCTCAAGATCGCCCTGTGCGTGCAAGTTCCAGCTGCTTGCGGACGAAATACTAAGAGACGCAGACCAAGCAGCACGCAGCCCCGCGGGAGACGCGCGGTACCTCGCTGCGGCCACGCAGTCAGCCCCCCCCCCCTTTCCCACTTTCCACCCCGTGACACACTACACCCGCACACGCCGCGACCACCCTCAAGGGTTGCGCTGCGAGGTCCCGATGAAGCCCCGCCACGCCCCGCCACCCCCACCGCAGCAAGCGCTTTCCAGGGCGCGAAACACTCTCTCTCTCACACACACACACGACACACATACACCTACACACAAACACAAACACTCCAGGTCCAGCCGAAAGGCGAAGCGAAAGCAGCCGAAAGCGGGTCTCTCCACACTGTCACGTCCACTGCGCGTCCAGGCGTCCAGGCCCGCCACCCTTCCACTGAGAAAGGAAGGAAGAGAGAGCTCTGTTTTGGGGAGCAGACCTCTCGGTTAAATCAGTTTAATCATTCACACGAACCCGCTGCAAAATTTCTCAGCCCGGTCCCGCTGGAAGAGCTGCGTCCGTGGTCGGAACTAAGCACTACTCACAACTTTCGAGCGCGTATGAACGACATTGTGGCTTTTCGAGGTTGCTTTCGATAGATTTGCTAAGCCGACCTGTCCCAATGGGCCGCAGCCTGCAGGGACGGGGCGGGGCCGACGGGGACGTCTGGTTAGACTGGTTTCGAGAGTCGTTTCCATCACTCGGTCTCTCTCCCACTCATTGGAGGGCCCCTAGGGCGTCCCGTAGAGGAGAGGGAGAGAGACAGAGCGATGAAAGCGTCTCTCGGCCGCAGACGGAGGGAGAGCCAGTGGGGCCGAAGGCTGAATAATACAGTGGGGGAGTCCGGAGGGCCGAGGGCCGCCGGTGTGAGTTTCTAATCGGAGAGCTTAACGTCGCCGTCGTCGACCTCGTCGCCCTTGCCTTCTTTTCCTTCCCTTCTCGCCGCTTCTCGCTCGGCCTGAGTGAACTCGACCTTGTTGTCCTGTTGCAGTGAAACCGGAGGGCCCGCCGTCGCTGTCGGCCACCAAGGCCGCCTACGACCCCGGCGAGGTGCTGTACGCCACCTGCAGGGCCAAGCCCTCGCAGCCCGCCGCCGACCTCAGCTTCTACATCAACGACAAGGAGGTGAGGACAGGGACCGACGGGGACCGACGGGGACCGACGGGGCCGGAGGGAGGCAGGGCCTTGATCTACGCGAGGGCGTGCACGAATCGCGCAGGCACTCTGCAAAGATTTAAAAATCTTGTTCCGAACCCAAATTAAATTGCACCCCAGTCGTGGTGCGCACCGACTCAAGCGGGGGGACTCGCCCGCTCGCCGCGTCAGACGCGATGCACGAAGGCTTTCATTTTAATGCTGAATGTTGCCTATAAACTCTGAAAAGAAAAGGCAGATGCCGCTGCTGCGTCACTGGGCGGGCCCACGGCGAAGATACAAATAAAAATAATAACGCGAAGAACGAAGATAGACGATGATAAATCACGAACGACTTGTTGCCATTCAAAATGGAACGATATTTCAGTGCCAGCCGGGGGGGGGGGGGGGGGGCAGTCGCACTCCATGACATCACCCGGCGAACAAACAAAAAACCGCCACAAATACTGGAGACTCGAACCCGGGACCCGAGGTTGTGCAGCTGGTCGGCCGAATGGGACGTCGGCGAGTGGCGAAGCGTAAATCTCTTGCCGCTCTCCAGCAGCCGGGGCGGCCCGCGCCTCGGCCCGCGCCTCGGCCCGCGCCCGCCACACTTCGGTAGTCATCGGGACTCGTTCGGAACTCGCTCGGGGACTCGGGGACGCCGTCGAGGAGCTTTTTTTCATGCTTCCAAAGGGTTTTCTCGGACTCCTTAACGCCCTCATCCTCCGGCCCCATCAAGCCCGAGGCTGTGTGCTGTGTGTGTGTGTGTGTGTGTGTTGTGTGTGTGTGTGTGTGCGCGTGCGTGTGTGTGTGTGTGTGTGTGAGTGTGCTTGTGTGCGTGCGGTGAGCGCTCCGCCCGGCTGCGCGCCTGTGAACAGCAGGGTAGGCAGTGCCGCCGCGAAGAGCTGCGTTGCGGGCAAGCATGCCAACCCGGCGCTCTCTCATGCCGCGCGGAGGCAGCGCGGAGGCAGCGCGGCAGCCGCCGTGGTTTCAGCGTTTCAGCGCGAATAGACAACGACAACGGGGAGGTGAAGCGGTGAAAGACACCCCACCCCCTCTCCTAAAAAAAAAGAAAAGAAAAATTGCTGACGTTGGTTGGGTAATGATTGCCGAGTGGCGGAATCCGGAGAGCCACGGCGTCGAGTGTTGCGTGTTCTGTTCCTCCACCTTCCGTGCCGTGAGAGCGAGCTGTGCCTGCAGTGCCTGCTGTGCCTGCTGCGCCGCGGCAAGCAGGATACGGCCTGGCACTCACACACACACACGCACGCACACACACACTCGATGTCGAAGGACAGCCGTGCCCTCTGCTATGACCTCCTCATGGGTCCCTGCCACGAAGCGGGAAACTCGATTGGCAGAACTCTTTTATCACGCGGCCACCCGACCCGGCAGCTCCCCGCCCCGCCACCGCAGTGTCGCCGGCCCGTTCGGCCAAGTTTCCCTTCCATCAAGTCAGATCAAACTTTGTCCGCATTCACGCGCGCAGCGGAACAAATGCATTAAATAACGGAGCGCCGCCGCCCCACCCCGCCCCGCCCCGCCCCGCCCCGCTGCCTCTCGCTCGGAAAAACTTTCATTCGGAAAAGTGTTTATCTGGCGGCGCGCGGCCCCCGCCAACGGACCAACAAGGCCCCCGCGATTTTCACTGCCCCGGTTTCCACTCGACCTGGCCCACGGCCCCCGCCGCCTCTCCGCCGCCTCTCCGCCTCTGATTGACAGCAATTTACATGCAATATGGCTGTCAGTGGGGGCGTCTTGTCCCGGCCGTCAGACCGCGGGCCCGCTAGAAGTCCCGCAGACCCGCACACCCGTCAGGCACTCAGAAATAATAACAATACTACGCGCGCGCCGTGACGTGCGGCTGTGCCGGGCTGTGCCGGGCTGTGCCGGGCTGTGCACACGCTTGAGCGTGCGCGTGTGTCTGTGTGTGTTTTGTGACGGTGAGCCTCGGCCCAGAAAGACGGCAGTGGCAGTCTCTGCGAGTCTGCAGCTCCCCGGCTGCTGGGGCTTGGAGCGCTCGGAGCTCGACTCGCAGCGCAATGGACCCTTCACTGCTGAACCGCAACCACCCACCAACCCCGTCGCGCTTTTATTTTTGCATGAGTTTTTTCTCCCCTTTTTCCTCCTTTGTTTTCGTCTGTGTAGTTTTAGTGCGAAATAATCGTGTTTCACAGGCTGGCGGCGGTCGGTGGCCGCACCGCTCGTCACGGCAACCGTTCTGCGTGTGTGATCCGCCCCCTTCCCCTGGGCAACCCGCCGCGGCGGCAGCGCGCTCTGGCGGATTCTTTATTATTTATCGCGAGGTTTGTCTCGTCGTGCGTCGGTGTTTATGGCGAGCGCGGCGTGCGCTCTCAGGGAATCTCGTAGAAATCTCCGCCGCGAAATGACGGAGTACTCTTTCTGCGACTTGGCAGGGGAGGGGAGGGGAGGGGAGGGGAGGGGCAGGGTTTCGCGTGACTGACTGACTGACTACCTGCCGGAAGTTGCGTTGCAGGCGGGGACGCGGGAGGCGCGAAAGGGCGGCGAGGGGCGGCCTGATGACGCTGCACTGCGCTCCGCTGCGCCGCGCTGCGCCGTTGCGCCGCGAGTCGAGTTGGCTCGCAACAACTTTATTCCAGAACAGGCGTCACTAAAAGACTCTGATGAGAGCGCAGGGAAGACGGGCCGGCCCCGAAGGGGCGCGTAAACAGGGGACTAGAAGTAGTGCGGGACCAGCCCGGCCCAGCCGGGCCCAGCCCAGCCCCGTGGAGCCGGTGAGTATAAAGTGCGGGTTTATGCCCTGCCCCGCGGCCCGCGCCCCTCACCCCTTCCCCCACCCCCTGGCACTCCTGCAAGTTATTCGCAAGCAGTTGCACATGAGCAAACTCTCGGCTGAAACCTTTTTATGGCCTGCCGAAAGGAAAACTTTCTGGTGTCCACCGGCGTCCTCGCGTCCCTTGTTTTGCTGTTTTCTCCTCCCCCTTTTTCCCCCCTTTTTTGGGTCGTGCAGGTGAAAATTCGTGAAAGGTGGGGTCGGGGGCCGGTCGTCACGGCAGGCCGTCACTGCGTTTTTCTCTCCCCAACGGCCGCCACCCGCACGCTTGGGATTCAATCTCGTCCGGGTTTTCCGCCGATGGGTTTTTGCCCGAAAGATGCTTCGGGAATCTCGGGTTCCCCCGCGAAAGCGGAGTACTCTTCGCCTTGGCAGGCGAGCGAGCCGAGCGGGTGGGCGGCGCACACTCGTCTACCTGCCGAATTCGGCCGGCGGGGGCGGTGGGGGCGGCGGGGGCGGCGGGGGCGGCGGCGCAGAGCCTCCGCTGCGGGCGGGCACTCGAGGCCGAAACGTTTTACCCGGCGCCGTCTGGGCCGGGAAAGGGGGCCGGGCCCCCCGGGGCGCTGGGACTGAATAGTGCGGCCGCACTGGCCCGTCGGCCACCCAGCCCGGGGGCCAATAAAGTGCGGGTTTATGCCTCCCCGGGCGCCCCTCCCCTTCCCACCCCCTGGCACTTCGTGCAATTATTCGCAAGCAGTTGCACAGACAAACTTCCGAAACTTTTTAGGGCCCTGCCGAAATGATTTCCCCCGGGTGCAGCCCGGGCGTCGGCCCCGTTTTGGGCCCCCCGCGGCCGTCGGCTGGGCCTCGGCAGGCCTCGTGCGGGTGTATGGGCAGGCCGAGCGTTGTCTCTCCGACGCGGGCAAACCCCCCTGATAAATCCCGTCCCGAGCGGCCGGTTACCCGATAAGGTTCGGGAATCGCGGTCCACGGGCGGAGGTCGGGCAACGACCCGGCCGCGTCCGGGCTGGCACGCTCGTCTTGCTCCCCAACTCGGCCGGCGGGGGGCGGCGGGGGCGGCGGGGGCGGCGGGGGGCGGCGGGGGCGGCGGGGGCGGCGGGGGCGGCGGGGGGCGGCGGGGGGCGGCGGGGGCGGGGGAAGTCCGGATGGGTGGGGGTGGGGCACCGGCACGGTCCAGACTCGAGCTGATGGGCCGCCTTTTATCTCAGAGGAAACGGGAAGAAAAGATCCCGTCCCGTGCCGCCCCGCCCCGCCCCGAGCGCCGGGCAGACGGAGCCGCCAACTCGGGGAAATCTGATTCTCTGTCAGCGTGCACACACGCACACCCACTCACACACACAGACACATGCGCACTCCTCACGTTCGCCGTGAAGCCACAGGCTCGCAGGGCGTGCAGGAGCAGCCCCGCAGCCCGATGTCTGTCTGCTGCCTTGTGTCTTTAGCCCTTCAGCCAGCGCCGTGGCTCCGCGCCGCTCCCGCTCCCCTTCTTATTCATTTTGCATTGCATCCTCCTCTGCGGAAGGTTGCGCGTCTCGGATGGCATTGAAAAGCTTTGAATACGTCCCGCCGGCGTGCAGGCGTGCACCGCGGCGGCGGTGCGGTGGGGCCCTCGCAAAGGCCGCAGCGCGTCGCAGCGCGCCGAGTCCCTCAGGGACGGGGCGACAGGGGTAGCTACGATTGGTTCTGCTGCCCTCGGCCGCGAGGGTCTGACTTGCCGCACCAATCCCCAGCCCCTCACGCCTCGCCCACGCTCACTCACTCACTCTCGCGCACGCTGGAAGGAACCCCGCACACATTATGTGTCGCTGTGATAAAACTTTTTTTTTCCGCGTGTGTTGAATGATAAATGACGGGAGCGTCGGTGAAGCCTCGCTGCTGCACCGCGGACGAGAGAACAAGGGACAGCGAGGTGGAGGCAGTGAAGGGGTGGCGGGGTACCCGCCTGCAGACTGATTCCGAGAGTCGTTTTCGTCGCTCCGTCTCCCTCGCACTCATGGAGCGTCCCGTACAGGTGCGAGAGAGACAGAGCGACTCTCGGAATCAGTCTGCAGCGCTGAAAGCAGCTGGCAGCCGTTCCTTGAATGCAAGAGCGAGGCGTAGTTTGCGCGCTGTCTCCCTTTCCCCGCATCGGCCGCATCGCGCAGGAACGCGTCCGGGAGTTGATGCGTGGCACGGACACACCCCGCCCCGGATTTCAGAAACTCGCTCGCTGTTC